TTTATAGGGTTTAGGGTCTACAGGGAAGAAAATAGGGTTTAGGATTTATAGGGTTTAGGAGATTCTCAAGAAAGGAGACTCCTTATCAGGGACAATGTTGAGAAAGACCTAGGCTTAAATGATTTGATTCAGGGGGTATCAAGTGGAAAAGGTCATAGAAAACAAAACGGAAAATTTGGTCCATTGGGATAAATAAAAGATGGCGGTGCAATGGCAAAGGTAGTGGCGCATGTGTTCACTGCTATACGAGCAGTAGACTAGTTCCGCTTCTGGGTTGCCTGCTGAATTCTGTGTGTTTTTTGTTTCTCTACACTCTGAAACGCTGGAATCCTAAACCCTAAAACTCGGTTTAGGGTTTAGGGGACGGGGTTTGAAAAACACATAAGCACTTCTTGGAGAGATGTTTAGAGCCGAAATGAGGAGTCTGCTATTCTGAGGACATGAGCAGGAGGACTTATAACCTTGAGAAAGACCCGCATAAGGAAGACCGTAAGATGCATTCTTTGCTGCATTTTGCTGTACTCCTGCCAGGCCAATGTGCAGACTGCGCCGGAGGCTCCCAGCGAAGGCAGATCTTGCACGTGTGGCCAAGAAGCAGCTTCCCTCATGTTTTGCTAAGTTTGTCCTGCGCATTCACGACCGTGCTTGAATGTTGAGAATCGCCATGGGTAGGCAAGGGATTTTGCACAAACATGGGGCCTATAGACGCCATCATGAAGGATGTGTTTCGAAAAGGGAGATGTCCCAGTGCTGACTTGCTGAATGCGGTCAGGTTATTTAGAGTCTACTGCCGACAATTTTCCATGTCGCTCAGCTGCCACATATCTCAGAGCAATTGCCGGGAGCTATAGTGCCTAGTTTCCTAGTTCGCATTCCTTGTTCCATTTTCTTTTCTATTTGAGCTTCATGGTTGAGACTTATAAAAAAATCGATCGCATACTTGGCTCCTGCAGAACGGAAACCACAAGGAGAAGCAGTGCAGCCCTAGGGCTGGTCCCCAAAGTCTCTATGGAAGAAATGGGGGTATAGTCCCCCTTAAGTAGAAAATGGCTTTAGGTATATCACGATAAGATCCCCATATACAAGGAGCATAGTATTTGGAGGTCTATGTTGAGGTTTCCTGGAAACTCACATGATGTACAGAGTCCTTATGAAGCTGAAAGGAGTTTTGTGAGGCCAGCTCTTCCGCATGGAAGTTTTTGTAGGCCAAGGTGCTCCTAAGGGGTCCCTTCAGAATGTCTGTGGTCCCCATCATCCTCCCTGAAGTTCTAGGCTCATAGAACATACCATAGCTCCCGACCTACTCATTTTAAGGTTCTCAAGTTGTAATTTTCTGTGCAGGCCAAAAATCCTTGCCCAAGCCTCTATGCCCTTTTCAAACTCGAGCCTGAAGAAAAAACTCTTACCTAATACCTTTCTATACTTCTCCAATGGTGGGCTGAGAGGTGCTGGTAGCCAGCCTGGAAAGACGCCTGCCAAAGAGGCACCAGCGGCTGCGGCCCAACAGGCAATGTCAGGGCCTAAACTAGTAGGAAGGCGCGGGGGGGTTGGAGTATACTATGCTATAGTTATCTTGGGGTTCCAAGGAAATAGCAGTGCTTCCGCTTAGGCGCACAGAGGTTTGGGTTTAGGCTTTAGTTTTCGGGGCACGGGCGGTGGGATAGTAAGAGCACTGGAGTTTCTCCAGATAAGCTCGTGTAGTTGGTAGGACGGGATGGCAGGATTCTGCTCATCTCTCCTCGGCCATTTTTGAGAAGTTCTCATACAAGGAGCAGTTGCGCTAGCCATAATAGAAGTATGGCAGGCTTGGCGCGGGCCAGACAACAGAAGCGCAGTGATGAACAAGCGTCAAACAGGCAAGACTGATTCGTAACGAAATGGGGACTGGTTTTGATGGATTCAATCATGCATTTCAGAAGTAAGTACGAGTTCTCAAGCCCAAGCCAGAAAAATGCCCAACCCAGCCCCCAAAATCACAAGTCCCCCCAATATCTGAGAAACCTGATACAAGCTAGCAGTTAGCTGTAGGAAAAATGCCCTAAGCCTCGAAGCCCTGCACCCCTAAACCCTTAACCCTAAACTGTGTGAACAGAAGTGGCACTTCTCCTGGCAGGCTCCTGCTGCCCAGCCAGGCTCCTTGTGCGGTCTGGGGGGTGCATATGTACCCTAAGGATCCCTAAGGTGTTTAAAACTACTATGCCAACTGCTGCTTCTGATCTGAGCGCCAAAAATTGGAAAATTCCTCTCAAGCCAGGATCTACGGCCAGCACTCCGCTTCCAGCGGGCAAGGCGCCACTGAAGTCGCGCCGCATTTGCGAAACTTCTTCAGTGGAATGCATGATCTTCATGTGCAGCTTGTGAAGCAAACCACGGGACATAATGAGCTTTTGGGACGCGACTCAGGCTGATGCGGCATCCTCATCACCTCCAGCTGCATCGGACCTAATGAGATTTTGCAAGTCTCAGATCTGAGACCTGCCGCGCAGTGTGTAAAGTCCTAGGCCCGGATCCAGGTGGACGACCAGGCGGGATGCTAGGTGATCTCTGCTTTTGTTCCATGCCCCTTGTGAAATTGCATGTAATTAGAACTTCCAAGATGTACAGTATCTCTTTCGTGTGGAGGTGAAGGGGACCGAGGAGGGGAAGCCTGCCCAAACACAGCCCCAGCCCACGGAGACACAGCAGGACACCAAGGACCATGCCTGGAGCTCTGCCCCTGAAAGGCCTTCAGGCCCTGACTTACACCGAGGTCGCAGCCAACCGCGGCGCCTAAGGCCTGCATGGTAGTTTCCATAAATCGGGGCACCCAATATAGATCCCAAAATACTAGAATCATTGCCTGGGCGAGGCTGTCAGCGAAGCTTCCCAACCCTCCAAGGCTGTCGAACTTGTCGTGTCAAGCACTGACCAGCCTGCTGTTGCATTCGAAGCAGGGGCACCCCTTTGTTGCTTGCACCCTCTTCTTGAAGGCCAACGTCCAGGAGCTGGTGCAGGAGCGTGCACCCAAAGCTGCAGGCAGGGAAGGCTCGGCGGGCATTCCTAAGACGTGCAACGTATCTTGGATGTCATGATTGAACCAGGAGCTGACACCCCGCAGCCCAGCCAGCCTGCGGCAGCAGCCCCTTCAGCACCCGAGGCCTGCAGCTGAGAGAGCATGAAGCGCGGAGCACGTGCATGTGCACACGATGCTTAGTGGAGGGTTCCTTTGTCCATCAAAACATACTCTCTCGTACTTTCTTGTAGCCTTCTTGCCACACCATGGCCCCTACCTGAACGTTAAGAAAACTGGTAAAAAGGGTCGGGACGAGGTGAATTCATGGCAGGCTCACTAACTTTGATTGGTAAGTTGGTCATTTCTTCGAGGACTGGAATAGGAAACCCCTGCAATGTCAGAGCCAGCGGGCAGGCTTCAGCGGAGACAGTTCTCAGCGGGTTGAGACTCACGCAAT